CACAGAGTCATTAAGATGTATATCCTTTTTCAATGCACGCGATTTTGCCTGCAAGAGCCCATTAGTGCTAATGGGTCATTTTTCTCCCATCACCCCAAGAATGAAACAGAGAAGCTGCATCTTTGATGAAGTGGTAATGGTACACAGGTCTCAGGCCACTTAAGGGTTTTCTTTGTTCTCTTCATATGGCAATCCACAAAGGGACTTTAAAACGCTCTCGACTATATGAAGAGTTTATGAAGACAGTACTAAGTGGTGGTGCTAAATGCATCTTTAGTAATAAAAATGAGAATAAGCCCCCTACTTATAAAGTCAAACTCATCTACCTTGGTATGTTTGAGGCTTGTATCCTGTACTGCTTGAATGGATATTTTCTGTTCTTTAGTAATGCAGGGGAGACAGTATTACCTCTCTTCAATAAGCTTTAAGAAGTTGCTCAGGCAGGAAAGTTTGCTAATAGGAGAAATAGGAATTGTAATAGGAAGTGGGAAGAGGAAGGAAGGAAGTGCATTTTAGAATTAGGTCTGTCCCCGTGTTTTGTATTCCTATTCTTCTTCCTTGGTTGATTCTTTTCTACTATGACTTCAATCCATCAGCGGGCTGACTATATTTATTGAATGCCCACTGTGTTTAAAGCCCAATACTAGGCACTGTGGGAAAGTATGAAAGAAATAAAATACATAGTTTCTTTCCTCCAGGAGGTTAGGATCAGAAAAAGGGTGATTGGTTATAGCATTCCGTTCTTAACTTTCAGTACTGAGTTCCATGTCTGAGAAGCCTGAAGCAATGCCAAGAAATTCTCCATTCAACTCCCCGCTGTTCTCTAATACAACATTCATTAGACCTGGAGGAGAACTGAAATTTACTAACAAATTGAGTTCAACGAATAAATGCAGGGAGTATTTCCTTGCGTTGATATTTGACATGTAGACGTATAAACCTCATCTCACAAACTCAGATGTGTAAAAAAGGTCATTTTATTTTTCTATAATTCAACTTGGTGTCTATTTTGAGCTCTAATCCTTTGACTTAGAGAAAATGTAATCTCAGACAATTTTAGTTCCCTTCTTTCCCTGGCTGTTGTTGTTGTTAGATGCCATCGAGTCAGTTCCGACTCATAGTGACCCCATGTACAACAGAAGGAAATACTGTCCAGTCCTATGCCATCCGCACAATCGTTGCTATGCTTGAGCCCATTGTTGCAGCCACTGTGTCAATCCATCTCATTAAAGTTCATCCTCTTTTTGCTGACCCTCTATTCTTTCCGTGGGATTATGTCTAAATTATGGTGAGAGGATTTGCATTGTTCCAAACTTCTGGAAGTAAAGAGGTGGCATGGGAGCTGGTCTCCAATGTTCTGTATTCACAACTCAGGTGTCTGCTCAATTGCTACCTCGCATCCTTATTCTTGTGTGCATGACTCCTTGAGTTCAGTCTCTTCTTCTGCTATTTCTGTGCTACTCTGGGAATTGTTTTGTTGCTCCCACACCAAGGTACAGTATGGAAAATTAGTTGAGGTCATCTATACCCCTAGCCTGTTGTCATGGTTTGAATTGTGTCCCCCAAAAATATGTGTATCAATTTGGCTAGGCCATGATTCCCAGTATTGTGTGATTGTCCACCATTTTGTCATCTGATGTGATTTTCCTATGTGTTGTAAATCCTATGTCTATGATGTTGATGAGATAGGATTAGCGGCAGTTATGTTAATGAGGCAAGACTCCATCTACGAGATTAGATTGTGTTTTAAGCCAATCTCTTTTGAAATGTAAAAGAGGGAAGTGAGCAGAGAGACATGGGGACCTCCTACTACCAAGCAAGTATAGCCAGGGGTGCACATCCTTTGGACCCAAGGTCGCTGGGTTGAGAAGTTCCTACTCCAGGGGAAGATTGATGACAAAGACCTTCCTCCAGAGCTGGCAGAGAGAGAAAGCCTTCCCCTGAAGCTGGTGCCCTGAATTCGGACTTCTAGCTTACTAGACTGTGAGAGAATAAACTCCTGTTTGTTAAAGCCATCCACATGTGGTATTTCTGTTATAGCAACACTAGATTACTAAGACACCTGTCTAAATCTACCATGCAGCCATTTCTTCTCGGGGATCTCACTGCTGCTTTAAGTTCTCCCAGAAATCAACACAGATCTCCTCTGCTCCTCTAAACCTTCCCTAAGCTTTGACACCCATTGAGGCTTAGCCATTAAATCATAGTACTATGCCCTGTCCTTGGCATTCATCTATGACTATTGCTTGCATTGCTTCTCCTCCAAGTTTCTTTCCTGCTTGCCCACTTGGTGACCGGGAGAGCTTTACTTGTCTCATATGATCACTGACACTGAATATACTTGTCTCTTTCATTCCTCAAAGAGACTAGGCTTTTAAAACTCAAATACAGAAAGATAATTTTATATCTTTGATTTCTGATTCATATTCCTTTTCTGAGGCAACTAAAACACAATGACTTGTAGCTTAAATGAAAGAAAAAAGAGAAAAATGAAATATGAAGAAAAAATCAGTTACTATTTCAAAATTTTATCCTACTTCAGACCAAAAATATGCTATTTTTTAATATTACGAGTGAGGCTTATTAGTCAATAGATTTTTTTTTAATTTAAAATGTTGAGGAAACAAACATATCTAGTACTTTAAGTACAAATTGTATAACATTAATGGCATCCTGGTATGTTGCTTAGAGCATTAATTTGTAGGTCAAGGGGCCTGAGTCCTCTGTTCTTATAGCTAAATGACTTTGAGCAAGCCGCATAAACTCTCTGTGTCACAATTTACTCATCAGTACAGTTCAAGAGTGTCAGATCTTAGGTTAGGTTTTACCCTACTTACAAGCTTTTAATTTATCTTACTATTGTTTCATGGATGCTGGCAGAAGACACGGGATTCCTGGGTCAGAGACCAAGGCCTGTGTTACTCATGGCACAACCAATAGCACGAGCATCAGCATGCGTGTCGCTTCTCCTTGTCCTCAAGTCTCATAAGGAAAAAACAGAAGGATTTAGGGATGCAAGAGGTTCGTGTCACAGCTGAGGAATATTGACTTGGGGAGTGTGCAGTTTTATAGCAAGCAGTAAGCAATACTGCTCTTTGAGGGAGTCATTACCTCAGCCATCATGGTTGCCCACTGCAAACACAATCCTGAGATAAGATCTGGGTAAAGAGAGCTCAGGAACTAGTGTCCTTAGCATACATAGCAAGAATGAGCAGGGACACTCAGTGACCATGGCAGATTGCCTCTCCCCAACCAGAGTTGACCTGGGTGGGTGGTGTTAAGTTAGATAATCCCAATCAAGAGATCAAGATTCTGGTCTTGATTTTACTCCATGTTAACTGTGTATCTTGTGGTGAATCATCCAGACCCATCTGAGTCTCAGTTTCCTGTTTTGTAAAATGAGGATAATAATACCTGACCTGCCTAACTCATTGGATTGTTTAGGTATTCAAGGATGTGAAAAATAACTGCAATGATTTATATAAAAATGAAAGATTGTGAGAGCATCTGTGAGACTTTAAAAGTATCAGACTGATGTTTTATAACTATCAGTCTTGAGCCTGATGCTTTTACCAGTGTCTGGGGAGGCACTGGGGAAAAGGTACCAAGTGACAGGAAGTTGGATGGAATGATTAATGTGAGAGAGAAAATTCAAATGACAATGAAAAATTGGAGAAATAAGTAGCTAACTAAAGTATGTTACCAGAACTTGTAAACCAAACCAAAAGCCAAACCCAATGCCATCGAGGTGATTCTGACTCATAGCAACCCTGTAGGACAGAGTAGAACTTCCTGATAGGGCTTCTAAAGCTGTAATCTTTATGGAAGCAGACTGCCACGTCTTTCTCCCGTGGAGCAGCTGGTAGGTATGAACAGCCAACCTTTCAGTTAGCAGCCGACTGCTTAACCACCGTGCCACCAGGACTCCTTGAACTTGTAAACAGGAGCAATGAATTATGGAATTTTGAGGTCACCCTCATTATGTCCTGCATTGATTCTCTTTACAAGAATTAATCACATCTACTGGATGCCATCTAGATAAGATGAATGACCTGGGATAGAAAGAGAAACAGAGTCATCAGTGGATTGCTATCTTCTTTTAGAAATAATGGATCATCAAGTTGGGAAATCTCAAACCTAGAGACATGTAGATGCCAAAGCAGAGCAAAGTGGTCCATTAGAAACTCTGCAATAAAGTTGAAAAAATAAATTGACAACTTGTTAATACATCCCAGAGCATCATAAGGAGTTGAAAGTGATGTTTCAAAAGAGAAGATGAGGAGTTGTGGTAACTTTCCCTGAGAAAGAAATACCTGAAGCAGGATGTAAACATCAGGTGTATACAGGCTATTATGGGAGCAAGTTAGTGATCAAGATAGGTAGAAGTAAGGTAATGAGCTTAAGCATAGTAGAAAAGGTGACTTTAGACACTAGAGAGAGTGTGTTGAGACCCCAATTAACTGAAAGATCTAGAGTTCTCTAAGCAGAAGGTAAATTTAATAATAGTAATGCCTATTGACCGAGTATACTATTACATATTTTTACTGTGATGGGTACTACCCATATTTTAGTTAATGAATCCTCACAGCAATCCTCTAGGATATATTATACTGCACCTATTTTAGAAATGAGGATATTAATGATCAGGGAAAGCAAACTGTATGCTCAAGGCCACAGAGTTGGTAAGTAACTGAGCTTGGATTTTATTGCAAGGATACGTAACTCCTTGGCCCATGTTATTTCCACTTGGCCACATTGTATTGAATGCCTTTAGTTCTCTGTGGGAAATAGCCACTAGAAATTTCTTCTCCTGCTTAACATATTATTCAAATACTTTTATTGTTTTGTACCTTTAGGAAAATATTCAATCATCATTTTACTTTTTGTTAATTTCATGAAAGATTAAAACTTGCTGTTGTTCTTTTTTCCTGACCTACTGTGTGCTTAAAGCCAACATGTTTCTTTTGTGACAAAGACTTTCATCTGTGATCTTCCCACAGGTGACTTGTATATAGGAGGAGTGGCTAAAGAAACATACAAATCCTTGCCAAAACTGGTCCACGCCAAGGAGGGCTTCCAAGGCTGCCTGGCTTCAGTTGATCTAAATGGAAGGCTTCCGGACCTCATCTCAGATGCCCTTTTCTGCAATGGACAGATTGAGAGAGGATGTGAAGGTACTGGGTCTTTGTTTTCACACTCTAAATAATTCTAATTTGACCTATAAATGAGAACAGATCTCACTAGCCAGCAAAATTCAATTCCGCCAACTGGTCAAATCCCCACTTAGGGCTTAAAAAGGGCTTAAAAAAAAAAAAAAGTTGTTATCGAGTCAACTGTGACTTATGGTGACTCCACGTGTCAGAGTAGAGCTGTGCTCCAAAGGGTTATCAGTGGCTGATTTTTCAGAAGTAGATCTCCGGGGCTTTCTTCCAAGGCCCCTCAGGGTAGATTCAAACGTCCAATCTTTTGGTTAGCAGCCAAGAGTGATAACTGTACCATCTAAGGATTCTCACTTAAGGCTTAGAGATCTTTATTCATGTTTTTAACTTTTTATTCATAAATCTTAAATTTTCCTGGGCTGTTTGCAAGCCTACACTACCATCTGATGTAAAATGGAAACTCTATCCACTGACTCTTGTTATTTTCTGCTTCTTTGCATTCTGTAGTTCACCGAATTCGCACAGTAATCAGTTCTGCAATGCTTGCTCTATTGCAATGAATAGATACCACTTAGACCAGAAAAAATGTATTTATTCTGTCAAATATTAATCAACTTGAGCCCATTTTTAAAAATCTACATTGAATCAGATATAACAAGAGAATAAACTTGAGATACCCCATTCTCAAATCACTTTGATTTGTGTCTACCTGGCAGGAAGAGTGTTTCCCCTATATTATCTGTTTGTTTTAGCAAAAATAGGGTTCCTACATTACCCAACACTAGTAATCCATAACAAAAAGGTCAGCAGTTTGAATCCACCAGGTGCTCCTTGGAAACTCTGTGGGGCAGTTCTACTCTGTCCTGTAGGGTCGCTGTGAGTCGGAACGGACTCGACAGCAATGGGTTTTTGTTTTTTTTTTAATAATCCATACCTCAGAAATGTGCTGAAGTATCTTCCTGTTCTTTTGTGCTCTCTATTTGTAGGAGTACTTTTTGATTGCTACTTTCATTTTAGATAATTTTCACTTCAACACCTCAGATTATTTGAGCCAATTCTTCCTCCATAAGTGTAATTCAATCACATTATCTTGAATTTTGTGACTGTGGATGTGTTGCTACTTTTCCTTTAATGTTGAACCTAGTTTAGACCATTTTGAACTTTTAGATTCATGAGGAAATTTCATCTGGAAAAAGCGGTGGAAAGAAATGTGAATTCCTGTCCCCCAGGAGATTATGAACCCTTTCTTCTCAGCCAAAATAATGCCATTAGATTTAGTGATTGCCTAAGTACACAGACTTGTTTTTTATTTGAAAATACATTTTTCTCAGCAACACATGTTTCCCTGAAAAGTTAGGTGAAATTCAAACTGTGTTTTAATCATGCCAGAGGATAAGGTTATTTACAGAAAGTCTTTTTTGAATTTGTTGTCAGTGTTATTAGCATGTTTATCTTCTTTATTTCATATTTTGGTACAACAAGATTTAGTAGAACAAAAGAAAAACATGTACTTTCTCATCTTACCAATTTAATAAATGAAAAAAATGTTAGATGAATAAATTCCTTCCAGTAGATGGATATAGGTGGCTGGGTGGCGCAAATGGTAAGCGCTCGACTGCTAGCGGAAAGATTGGCAGTTCGAACCCACCCGGGGTACCTCAGAAGACAGGCTTGGTAATCTGTTTCTGAACGGTCACAGCTTTGAAAACCCTATGGAGCAGGTCCAGTTTGCACACACAGAGTCACTGTGAGCCAGAACTGACTTGCAACTAACAACAACAAGTAGATGGATAGAAGAATGTGGAGCATAGCTTTGGGTCTCAGAGGTTATGTAATTAATGAAACTATGTATATTTGGGGCCCTGGTGGTGCAGCAGGTAAGGGCTCAGTTGCTAATGAAAGGTTGGCCGCTTGAATCCACCAGCTGCTCCTTGGAAACAGTATGGGGCAGTTCTACTCTGTCCTGTAGGGTCGCTATGAGTCGGAATCAACTCAAGGGCAACAGGTTTGGTTTGGTTTATGTATATTTAAAAGGAGCCCTGGTGGTGCAGTGGTTAAAGCGCTCAGCTGCCGGCAAAAAGGTTGGTGATTTGAACCCACCAGCTGCTCCCTGGAAGAAAGATGTGGCAGTCTGCTTCCGTAAAGATATATAGTCTTGGAAAACCTGTGGGCAGTTCTACTCTGTCCTGTAGGGTTGCAGTGAGTTGGAATGGACTGGACAGCAAGGAATTTGTTTTGTGAGGTTTTTTTTTTTTTTTTTTGTATCTATATTTACTTCTAAAAGGAAAGGTACTACTAACTCTTCTGGATTTTTTTTCCCCCAAAAATAGGCCTTTCTACAAGTTGCTTGATAAGTGACTTCTCACTTACAAGAAATGATGAGGGCAGACATATAGACACTTCCACAGCTAAATACCCAAGAGATAGAAAACCATACACACACACACAGACACACACACACATCCCTACACCACCAGCACAAGATGTGAGTGAGTAGGTAGAAGGGAAGAGTAGTGGGAAGCAGATGTCTTGACAAGGGGTATTTTTAGTAATTACATTTTATGTTATTTTCCAGCATAACCTAATGAGCAATTTGGTGAAGGTGATTGATTAGAGAAGACAATCCTCTTGGGTAGCCTTGAACTAGTATTTGAACAATGTAAATCATTCAGTAGATTAAGGCCTTGGTCCTTTTCTTACCTTATCTAGTATGATTTAAATATCTGGGCTTTAATAATAACCCCCTTTTTTGCCTCCTTTTTCTTTAAGAATTTTACTAAACTCCTGCCTTTTTGCCCCAGCACTTCCGTGATTCTTTCTTTTCAACAGCAAGTTTAATAGCTTTCAGTTCATAATTATTTCTGCCCTGTATGATTCCTAGGAATACTCTTAGAGGTACTTGTCACAGGCATAATTGATGAGATTCACATACTTTTAGGATTAATGATTAAATTTTACATACCAGATAAATTACCTCTCTGGAGAATCTTGCTTCATGGAATTTGGTTTTAATTCACATTGAAATCACTTCCATATTAACGCAAGTAGTATAAGTTAGACATTACCAAATAATATCCTGTCAAGATTTTCCTTGATTTCTGCTCAATAAGACCCACAAATCTCTGAGCCCCTTGCATGCAAAAAGTTCTTGGTCTTCAGCAATCACTTGCTGCCTTTCATTTCTAAATGAAAAAAAAAGTTGTCGTTGAGTCAGTTCCAACTCATGATGACCCTGTGTCTTTCAGCCTAGAACTGTGCTCTATAGGGTTTACGTAGCTGTGACCTTTCGGAAGGAGATAGCCAGGACTTTCTTCTGATTCTAACTGATATCACCAGATAATAGCTGATTTTATTTATAAAACACAGCTAAACTAGGAGAACTTTACCCTAAGTCCCTTTTGATTAATGTTTTTCCCACTTCAGCATCTGTCAGAATCACATGTAGTTGTTAAAATCCAATTTACTGGACTCCACCCCCAGGATTTCTGATTCAGTAGGTTTGGGATGGGGCCCAAGAATTTGCATTTCTAACAAGTTGCAGAGCTGTTGCTGCTGGTCTGGGGACCAGATTTTGAGAACCACTGCTTTGGAGGACATTGTTCAGTTTACATAAATGAAAACAGAGACTGGTAATCAGTCAATAATCAGTCTCAATTAAATTTAATACCAAGTCAAGATAGCTTCCCTACATAAAGCTGGTGGAAAAAAATAATAAATTCAGACACTCTCCATGAAGACTCATAACATTCAGGCCTGGAACTACTTTATAGGATGCAGACATACTTTCATATTTAATTACTGAAACTACCATATACTATCACATTTAATCCTCAAAACTCTGTAAATTAGGTATCATTGCTTTTTTTGTTGTTTGTTTGTTTTTGGGTGAGTAAATTGAGCCTCAGAGATGTAAAGTGACATACCATGTAAATGTGTAGGGCACAGTTCTATTCTGAAGCACAGCTAGTAAATAGATGATGTAATCTTCAAACTCAGGTTTACTTGACTTGAAAACTCAGGCATCCAAACACTTACCTCTGTTGCTTCTTTGGCTTCCAGAGGTACTAGTTTTACTTTCACTTACCTTTCCTTTTCAGACATATCCTTGTTTTTAATCGCTTAATACAGACGTCCTTGTGGCTTGTTCCCAATTTCGTTCAGTGATAAAATAAAAGGAACATTATGTAACTCCAGGGAAAAAAATAAATTCAGGGCTCTGTCTTGTGAAAATGCCTGTCAATGTTTAAATATTGTTCTAGAAGGTGAGTACTTTGAAAAATGTGTCTTGTCAGGCATAGGCACACATTCTCTTGTAATACCTAAATACAAAAAGACTGTTGTGATAATGAGAAAAAAAAATACTAGAGCGTGCCTTTATGCTCACGTAGAGGCCTGGCAGGTACTCTGAGTTGCTGCTGGACAATATGGGAAGACTATTTTTCAGGCATGCGATTTTACTATTTTTAGAGTTTAATGTTGCTTAACCATTATATTTCTGATTATTTTTGCCAAAAGCAAAAATGAAAACAAAACTCTTGGTCTTCATCAGTTCTTGCTCCTTCTGCTGTGCAGGTGAGGGACCTGGAGGCAAATACCCATTGGATGAAGCAGCCCCTGACCTCATCTGGGCTTACACCTCTTCCTGCTCCTTTGCTTAGCCCAGGAAGAAATATGCTAACGAATGTTGCTCTAAGACATTTTTATTTCTTTTTTTGAAACACTAATTATTTTCAGTCTCTAACGAATGTCATGAAATAAAGATCAGTGAACCACTTACCTCTCACAGATTGGAACAACAGAAACTTAGCAATGTAATGGTTCTTAGTCTTCGACGCAGTTATCGAGAAAAGAATTTGTATATTCAAGTCTCCCAGTTCCCCATCGGTATGATAATAAACCAAACCCAAACCCATTACCGTCAAGTCGATTCCGACTCATAGTGACCCTATAGGACAGAGTAGAACTGCCCCATAGAGTTTCCAAGGAGTGGCTGGCGGATTTGAACTGCCAGCCTTTTTGGTTAGCAGCTGAGCTCTTAATTACTGCTCTAGCACTGCTCTACCAGAGCTCTCTCTCTCTATATATATATATGTTTATAAAGTATTTATATCTATATCTATGCATCTATATATAGTATTTTCAATATTATGGTTTCTGAATTTTCATATATTTTAGACTAAATTTTCTTGAATTTTCTATGAAGAATGCCTTACTGAGAAAATCTGTAATAGAAATGTGATTATAAGGACATGTTTAAAAAATCCATTTTGCAAACACTTCAATTGATACACAGATAGGCTAATTACAGATATTTCTGATTTATTCTCTAAAGCAAGTACCTCAAATGTTCTCACTGTTAGTAGCACTTAACTAGGCTGGTGTCTGTTTTTATATTTTCATAAAAGTGTGTTTACTAGAAGATATCTTTATTTATGCTCTAAAGCTATTTAGACAGACTGTGTTCTCTTTTTATTCTTACCTAAGGTAGTCCTTATTAGTGGGTTTCACTGTAATAATTATTCACAGGGCAGTTCATAGGGGTTAAAGACAATTTTGAAGGTGTTCAAAATACAAAAATAACTCTGAAATCTTTAAGAGGTTTATTCCCAATCTGATAAGAGCAAGGATGAACTCTCCACATTGAAATCTTATACAGGAATTTTCTTGATGGCAGATTATACTGCAGTTTATTTCTTCCACCCTCTACTTCTTCTTTCATCCACTCCAAACAATATACACCTTCTCCTCACTTATCAACTATCTTGTTATTCAACATTTCACGTCTACAATAGCGAAAAATCTACTATCTGATTTTTTGCGCATTAACAGCATACGTCTGGTAGTAGTGAATGCTGATGCACGAGGAGAAAGTAACGCTGGCTTTGATGGTTAAGATTATGTGTTATCTTGGCTGGGCCATGATTCTCAATAGTTTGGCAGTTATGTAATGATGTAATTTGGCAGTTACTTAATGATGTAGTCATCCTCCATTTTGTGGTCTGATGTGGTCATCCTCCATTTCCGCATAACACCGATTTCATATAGGGACCTGGTCTTTGGAACCTAACCATGTAGATACATGAGGAGAGGATGTATAGATTTTCATAGTTTGGTGTCACTCTAAGGCCTAGCTGTTGGCAGTGAATGGCTTAATTGCAACAGCAAGATAAAAGATCTAGAGGGGAAAAAAATGGAAAGGCATAATTGGTCTGCTAATGATCATAGAAGACACTGTATCTGCACATGACAAATGGTGCTCCGTGTTCCCAATGAGCAACATAGTCACTTTGGTAATGCAGGCATATCTATCCAAGAGAGGAAATAATACCAAAGCCCTTTTAATTTCCCTTCATTACATGTCATCAGCTCAATTAACCATTATACATACACATATATATAGTAAAGTACTAATAAGCTGCCGCTTTCTCATTTTTGGCTTCTCTTAAGATTTATGGCTGTTAGTATTAATTTGTTTGCTCCACATAGCACTTCTCTCCCCCTTTACAGCAGCATGCTTTTTGAATCTGAACGTTCTTCTGTGTTTGCCCCATTTCAGTATTGCTTACTAACATTTAATATATTTTGCTTTTTTTTTTTTTATTTTGCTGACAAAGTTGCATTGATGAAAGCTGACTTGCAAGGTAGATAGCCCTGTGTGTATAAAACAAGACTGAAACCCCATGATACACAGTGGGAAACCAAAAATAATGTTTTCACACTTTTGCAGTAACTGTTGTTTGAGTTCAAATTTCTTTCTTTTCCTCCTTGAACGTTTTGCAAGAAGCCTCATTTTGTAGCATAGTTTACATAAAGGTTTTCAGTCTTGAATATGGTTGTATAGTGATTGCCTTTAGTGCTTTGCTCATCCTTTTTTCTGTTCTTTGTCTTTCAGTGTTCTAGTTTTGATTCTTTAGAAATAGACTAGCCTTCTTTATACTTGTATGTTAAATTGGGCATGTCATTAATACCAAGTTTTACATTTTATGTTTAATTGCATGAGATTGTTAAAGCATGTGAATCGATACTTGCCAACATACCTACCCAAAACACCCAGCAATCATAACTTTATCCACAGTTTACACAGGGAAACTTCTGGAACCTCTCGGGCATTTTTCCACAATTCCCTTCAGTTATTTTTCCAATCTTTATCTCACTTTCATGAAGCTATAATCTTCATTTCTCATGGTGTCTCTACTCATTGGTCAGAACTTAAGGAGATCCATGCATTTTCTGAAATCCAAATGGTGATAGAGAATTATTGACGATGGAAAGAGATCACCTGCTACCGTGATCATACTGAAGCTACGTGCTTGCTTTGACTCGTTGTTGGCTGCGTTGATTATTATAATGAATCTTGTCCTATATTTGAAACTTTAGAAAACCTTCGTATTACAGCTTCTCTGTTTCCAATTCAGGAGTGTGAACTAGAACTTTCAAAACTAGTTTGGGCACATAATTTGAGGTGTTGGCAACTACTATATGTGACCTAGCCCTAGTGCAAAAACTTTTAGATTCTTTTTTAAAGAACCCAACTTTTTTTTTTGGATTGTTCTGCAGGGCCCAGCACAACCTGCCAAGAGGACTCGTGTTCCAATCAAGGTGTGTGCTTGCAGCAGTGGGACGGCTTCAGCTGTGACTGCAGCATGACTTCCTTCAGTGGGCCCCTCTGCAATGACCGTAAGTACCTCTCAAGTATGGATTGATACTCGTTGTTAATTCCAGTTGTTGTTCGGTATCCTGAGTCTGAAATCAGGAGTCCATGTAAGATCTGGTAGTGAGTTGAACTGTCATGGTTAGGAGAGGTAGTCGTTTCTTCCGAAAGGCATTTTTGAAATACTGAGTTATTAATCAAGGAGGTCATGCGTGAAATGCTGTCATGATGGTGATTCTTTGTTTTTCAGGTCTTTGTTGTGATTTTTTTTTAAGTTACTAATGGTCACCTTGTTGAAAAGAGCTTTTTCATTTTCTGAATATGATGATTTCCCCCTCGTTTTTGAAAGAACCTTCATATTGCTTTATATTATGTACTATATGGTTTTGTACCAGTATATCTTGAGGGTTGCAATTTCAGTGAACAGTGACAGGTCTCATTATGGTTTGTGTGTGTGTTTTTTCTCTCTCTCTACATCTCTTTAAACCCATGCCTGCATTTCATCTTAAAAACAATATGTTTAAACTTTGTCCTTCAAGTAACCCTCCCTTATATTTTAGCCTATTTCCCCCCTTTATTCTCACAAAAATCAGTGTGACAGTGAACGCAGCACTCACCTTATATCCTGGCTTATCTGAAAGTGCCTAATCTATAGAGTAGCAGTGAAGGTTTTTGGAAGGAATTAACTGGTACGTAGGATAAAGTTGTGTTTCTTAACTTCCAAACAGATCTTGCCTTATAACACTTCATCAAAACGATGCAAACGTTTCCTTTTAACCACTGCATTCTGCCATGTTGAGAGAATATTCCCAACAAAGCCTCCTAGCTGTGAACTAGATGCATGCTTTATGTCGTAGAGCTATAACATTTCCGATAACGCTCTAGGATGTTGGGGTAGAGGATGTGGTGATTGAAGGTTTAGGTTTACTAATAGAAGAAGTTCGAGTGTGCATTCAAAGGAAGACTAGATTTTGTTCGTTTTGACCTTTGTCTGTTTGGAACTCTGTCCATGTCAGTAGATATGTGTATCATACTTTCAAAGATGGGGTCAAACTGGAATATTCCATTAAACTGAATTGTGGCAGCCTAGTTCACTAGCTGTCTTCTGGTCTCTGTGCAAATATTGAATAGTGGCAGAAAAAGTGACCAATATAAAGTAAAATTGTACGTGGAAGAGACCTTTCAGGGCTGTGCCACCATAAATGGAAAAATATTTTATCTCAGTCTTAGCAGTTACAACAAACTGGAAGCACTAAATATGTATTCAAATCATTATGTTTGTGAATACTGTATTTCTTCAAGTTGAATCATATTCTAAAAACAATAACCCCATTTTGGGTTAAAATAACCTTACATAAAGACTCAGTAAGTATATATGTACATAAAGCAAATAAGAAAACTTATTTATGCTCTAATAAACATATGCATATATGTATACAGAGCAGTAACTTCTTGTATTTGCTTTTGCTCCATAGAAAATGGCATAAACTCATTTTCAAGGACAACCAGAAGATTGAAAATTTGTTATGATTTTATTATGGCAAGTTTTTAATCTTGAATATGATCCTTGACAGATGTATGACTACATGTGGTAGCTAAGAGAGCTATTCTGCATGAAAATGTTTTTCATTTTGATGAAGAACTTTCTCTGCCAAACTTTGCTTAATCAGGTTCCCATGTTACACAAAGAGAGTTACCATTTGGTTGTGTGAAACTGTGTAGCCTCATATACTAGTTCAGTATGAAGGATATAATATTCTGTATGTATTAGACATTTTCTGAAGGAACATCAAGATCCGACCTTAGGTATCATGCAATTCATTTTTACAGAAAATTATTTGAATGTGGCTCTTGGGTGATAGTAGTGGTGATAACAATGATAAGACTGTATGTTATTTTCTTGTAAATAAAGTGAATGTCATTCAGTAAGTGTGTCTCCTGATAGGCCTCTCGCACAAATCAGGATTAAAATTACTTCAGAGCACCCTCAGAATACATGCATTTTGATTAAATCATTACCTCTTAGTGGGTTTTCCGAAATGTGAAATGGTTCCTTGGTTCGTAAAGTGAAGTTTCGGTGGTGATGATATATAGATAAAAATCAATATTTACAAACAAATCTTATTCTCATATAAACTATAAATTTTAGAAGGTAGAAGAGTAACTGCTACTTTGAAGACATGCAATTAATATGACAATAGAAGTAGCATATCACATTTTCCTCATTTTTTAAATTGATAAAAATAAACATCTCACTCTTTTTTCTATAATTTGCACAAATATAATTAGTGTGATTCCTGGAATTTTAACAAACTCTCTTTCTATATAGAGGTTGGCTTTTTTTTTTTTTTTTTAAATAAATTCAATGAAGTATTTTAATTTAGGGCATTTCATTTCTTGATAAAACTTTCATCCTTAGCTTAGGCATTTACCCATAAATTCCATGAGTGCAGCCTCTAACTGAGTAGAGAGCAAACGAAGGAAAGCAGAAAGCGAACTTCTTAAAAGGGGAAGGTTCCCACCACGTTGCAAATGCGATCCCCTCCCCATAAAAGACTTTCTCAATGTTATCGCTCTTATACGTTTTATAGGATTAGTTAGAGTAACTAGCAAATTTATTTATATTAGCCTAAAGATATAATTAACGATGAGAAAATGGAAATACTTTATAGCTTATAAGTGTAATATTAGATAAATTTTCCTAATTAATGAACTTAAAGTAATCCTCCAAAAAAGACACACTTATGCAAAGTAATGCCAAAGGCTTTTTTTTTTTTAAAGAAACATGTTTATGAAGCCCTTCCTTCCCTAAAACACTGCCATCTGAATGGCCTACTTATTGGCAAAAATGACTGCAACGTGTGTGTGTGTGTGTGTGTGTGTGTGTGTGTGTGTAGTGTAGTGTAGTATAGTGTGTTCACCTGTTTAGTTCTTCCATGCACACCCAATTTCAGGTCCCTGCTGTCTTTGGCCTGGCTTATTGTAGTAATCTCCTAGTTGAGTGTCTCGCTTCTTGTCCCTCCCTCCTCCAAGTCATCCTATGCCCCTTGCCCAGATTCCTTCTTTCTTTCTTTTCTCCCTAATTTAAATGCCAGTAGTTCCTCATGATTCCCCTAGCAGAGGCAATGTTTTTCTTCCTCTGATTCCTATAGAGTTTTAATTATACTATTTATCTGCCATCATTTTCTACCTTATATTTACTTACGTTTGGTCTTACAACCCTACAAAGTATATGTTCCCATCAGGCACACTAATACTTTCTTTCTTGGCTCATATGCCCAGTGCATTGTACAACATGCTGCATATAATGGGTGGTAACAGTAACTTAAGGAGCCTTGGTTGCTCCGTGGTTAAAGCACTTGGCTCCTAACTGAAAGGTCGGAGGTTCGAACCCACCAGCGATTCTGCAGGAGAAAGATGTGGCAGTCTGCTTCCATAAAGATTACAGCCTTGGAAACCCTATGGGGCTGTTCTACTCTGTCCTATACGATCACTATGAGTCAGAATTCAACTCAATGACAAAGGCAACAGTAACTCACTCTATGAGTGCTGACTGGATACATGAACTTTATTTAAGAATTTGTGGTATATCCTTGGTGGTAGCCAATATGCTCCACACTCATCAGCCTGGAGTTCAGGAACCTCTATTGTCTGAGCCTAGCCTTAGTTTCCAGCCTTACCCACTGCAGAACCTTGTCCATATGGCATGTTACTGCCTATTAGCTCACTCGTGGTTTTCTAAACAACATTACACTTTTCAATTTCCTCACCATTGCTTATGCTGATTTATCCACCTGGGGAATGCACTCATTCCACCTGGAATTCATCCCCCTTTCACTGTCTCTGCTTGTAGAAATATAATCTATTCAATTTCTTCTTAACCTGTTTTATCCTATAGAAACTATGCTGATACTTTTAGGTATCACTTTTTCCTCTTCGGAAATCCTAGAGCCCCAGTGAGTTACACTTACCAGGCACTGTCCCATGCTGAAGCTATTGTGAATTTTCTCTTGGATATAACCACTTCTTGAGCTCTTGCTGTATGCCAAGTTTGTGCTTACATTTATTACCTAATGTTTACATTTATTACATAACATTGCCTGTATATTACCTATTTATGCCTTAACAGTTGTGTAGTTGCATTCACACATACCCACACACCATCACCAAACCATTCTGCTGTACAGTAATCCTTTTCTGCTTTCGCCCTGTGGTCCAGAATATAATGTAAGCGTATTAGCTAGTGTAACGTCAGATTGGGGAAGATGAATATGGCTATGATCACATGGAAAATAGCGAACATAATAACATTGTCACATTACATTAATATAGAAATGTTGTGTGCCAAATTACAGTTCAGCTTCAACGGCGTCTATTACTATAAGGGAATAATACATCACAGTGCTGTTGTTTTGGTGCTATAGCTTAGGAGGGTGTGGGCACTGCCATTGAAACACTATTTTCAGAACTCTAAATTCTGCTGAGAGAAAAATCTTTCTCGTAATAATTTATCATATCTTTTGTATAAGAATTAGAAATGTTCACTGAAACCAGGATGAAATACATTTGACTGTGACTTCTTACTGTGGCATTTAAATATATCTTCAGCTTTGTTTCTCACCTTCTTTTGTTGTTTGAAAAGAGAATCCAATATCCAGTGTCTGAGCATCAATATCAGAACCACTGGAAGAGAATCATAACATATATAAAAATAACTTGGAGCTAAGTAACATTTCTCTCCCATTTAGAGCCGCCAGTAGTATTACACTGTGAGCGGATTTGCTGGCACTGCCATTAGGGCTGAATGAAATTTAGCAATTAGCGGTGTCCACAACCAGATCCTCATTGTGAGTATGATGCATCCCATTAACCTTGAATCATTCAAGCATTTCTAAATGGCAGCCCTTCAGTTTTTAATGCAATTCATAAGCTGTACTTACTGACAGTGCCTTAGAAAAAGTATCTATGGGGGAAACAGGGTAAGTTCTGTCTTAGGTTAAACCATAAACGATTAAGATACCGCTCA